AACTTACTCCCAGCGGCCGCGGGAAACAAGTTCGACTACATTTTTTCACTTACCACTTCTAAAAATTTCATTTTCTGTCTATCCTATTTCCCCACCCCTCAGAGCCCTATAACCGCCGCTTTCGTAGGACAAAATGCTAGGATTAGGAGTATATGAGGGTGGCTACATAAGCTACCTTTGCCGAAATTGGTTACATTCCGTTTTCATCTTACAAGAAGATTTAATTTTACTGTTCTAATTTATGGCTATTTTTTACGTCTGCGGAACTTAGGTACTACAGGGAAATTTCGTTTTTCTTAACAAACACTTAGTACTTCTTATATTTCTTTTAAGTTTTAAATTTGCCTAATGCTGTTCAATATTTTTTCTAAGTTTTCGGAAATGTCTTCACACCGGTATGCGAGGAATTATCAAACATTTACAAACTTAGGTAAATTTCTTGCAGCACTCGCAATACTGTATGTCGGATGTTGAGAAGGTGCCCGTCTGTTCTGTAGTCTATGCGGATCCCGGGGCGCTCGTCACGGTAGGCATCCATCAGTATGGCAGAGAACATGAGACTGAAGAAGGTAGGCGCGAGGTCACAGCCCTGCTGACCGATGCAACATAGGCACACCATTACTCGAGCAAAATAAAATACGCCCATTGGAAAACACTTAATTGCTCCATGAACTATAAGAGCAGCGGCCACCACTCTACCTCTGTCTCCAAGGCATGCCTGGCCACATTCAACCCCAGCACTAGCTTCTTCAATGCCCTCTGTTGTCCGAGACAGCACAACGTACAGTAGATTGCCTAACTCAAGAAATGTTACCCGAAATTGGGAAATGTGTTTTTGATTCCAACAAATTACTTTGATAGGATTGTGATATTGATTATCCTGTCATGTCCGCACCAGCCCCTCCATGCTCCGCGGGGTACGAGGGAGATTTGGCAGGGATACAGAGGGTGCATGTAGTCTAATCTGAGGATATTTCAGCCCCGTCCGGATGCTGGCTTTTAAACGAGAGTGTTTTTGATCACCCGTGAAAAGCATACTCTGCAAAAACTGCTACTTAAGTAGGGTCATTTTTATCACTGGCTTCCTGTGCTCTCGTAAATTCACATATTTTGCAGAAAACATTACAAAAGCATGCTTTCGTGTATTTATTTGGTAGCAAAGTATGCTTTCTTAAATTGTATGCTTGAAGAAGGAGTATCCTGCGGTTTTAATTTTTTTTTATAATTATGGGATATTTTTAAATCGTGAAATGTTCATTCACAAGAGATCGTATCCGTCAATTTACTAAAGATGTCTATAAAGTATAACACATGAATCAAATTTATTGCAAAAGTTCAGGGACACTACGTAACCTCTTCCTCTCAGCGTAGAGGGATGTTAGATTTTCCTTAGATAGAATGTATACAGCATAGAGTTTTGAAACCTAGAATACAAGTGTAATGACCGGTAGGGTTCAACATTATTCGGCAATTCACTTAGTTCTTTAAAACCGGAAAAAACCCTCTCTTCGAGTACAAAATTTAAAGAAAGCGCAAAGTACGAGAAAGAATGTCTTTTGCGCAAGTTTCCTATGGAATATATTTGAATTTATTAGAACACTGGAAATTAATTAACAATATGCATAATACCTAAGTGGCACTTTTTTTGATAGTAGGCCTTTTGCACGTGGTTAGAAGAAAGTTCGTTTAAAAGCTGACATGCTGACGTGACTTAAATATTTTGCAATTAGGCTGCAGGATACTCAACATAACAACCCTATTTAACTAATTTATTCGAATCAAAAGCAAACTTCAGAGTTTCGGTTGACATTTTATGAGATTGTGTCGAAAATAGTGATCATCGACTACAGAAGGTTCCCCAAGTC